TTCTAAAAGCAAGCGTTGCAGGAATCCTGAAGCGTGAGAGCCTCAGCACGTGCCATCTGCTTGCAAATGAGCCTGTGCTTGGCTGGTGGGGAAGCGTCATTTTTAATAAGGCTAAACCCGCTCCCACTAACATGGAAGTTCACAGAGGGTTCCAAAGGGGAACGTAGTCTCCAAGGGGCTTGGCGCAGGTGCCACGTGAGTGCAAGTGTAAAGGTCATTTGTGTCGGTCCAAACAGCAATCAAGGCCCAAACCTTTCAACTATTGGAGCGCAACTCCGCAAACCAAGTTACAAACATATGTGTCACGAGCTGGAAATCATAGACTTTGAGCAAGGAACTTGTGGGCGAGTGTGTTGCTCGCTAAAACTTGCACAGTTGTCATAGAACATGGGTTCCGGGTCGCTGTTCCGCGCAAAGTAGTGGTCCTGTTCATGGCCTTCACTGCACATCATGATGAGAGCCAAACCCCCAAAGCCTTTGAAAAGGATCATGTTTCGGTTCCGGCCACTGCCCTCCAACCAATGGAGCCAGGTTGGGTTTCGGCACAAAAGCACGCGAACATTTGTGCAACAGTTGTCCTGCATCTGGATGCTGTTCACTTTGCTTCCCGGCACATGCCTCACATAAGTTGTCCTGCAATAGAAATCGGCTACACGTTTAGGCAGGCCATCCTCTTTTCGAAAATCCTGCAGGTTGACAGGGGTTTGGAGGACTACCCTAAATGGCAACTCCGATCGACGTCCATTCCAATGCCCAGTTCCCGAAGTTCGATCAGAGAGTGCCACGCCAAGAGGTTTCGAACCCAAACTCCTGGGATCGATCTGAAGTCACCAACGGAGTCCCGCCTTGAGCACATCTGCCTTGGAATTGACGACTGTCACCATGGCTCCGTCCCCTGGTCAAATCGAAGAGCCAACTTCCGGAGCGACCAAAGCCCGCGGAAAGGTAGTGCTTGTGGATGAATCATTAAACAGAAAGGGACTTGTGAGAGCTGGGCTTTTGTACCAACCTGGTTTTACAGCCCGAGAAATCGAATACTCACAGCGACAAAAAAAAAACATCTCGTATCTCCGGGAAAAAGGACTGCACCCCAAAACCAAAAGAACTCGAGAACTCGAGTATTCAGATTCAAAACCAATCAAACAAAACAAGTACTAAATGATTTAACAAAAAAACTCCCCCGGGCAACTTCCTAGAACCCAACCCCCCCCCCCCAAAAAAAAAAAGAAGACAACGGTTCAAAAGCAAAAAACTGAGGAGTCCAAATAAATGGCTCAAAACAAGAAGAAGGAAAAAAACAAAACGGATTCAAACCCAACCAAAAACTCGAGTCGAAAATTCGATTCAAAACCAAACCATCATCGAAAAATCGCGCAAAAATCGTAAAAACAATATCTGAAGGGTGAGAGGTCCACAGAAACATTTCCCCCAACAAAAAGGTGCTTGGAGTTCTCCAGGTTCATGTTGGTGCCGAGTCTGCTTCATCTCTCGGAATGTCTTTTTGTTTTGAGTCGTGTTGGAACGAGTTCTCGAGATGTTTTTGGCGTTGACTCTTGGTTTGTGATTTGAAGGGGTTTTGAGTAGCGTTTGCCTTTTCAGCTTTGTGTTACGGCACAACTCTGCTGAGAGTTGGTTGTTGTGTCTTTTGATTTCTTGAGTCTTTGGTTTTGAGTCTGAATATTCGATGCCTCGTGGATTTTTAGGTTTTGAGTCGAGTCTGAATGTTGGTTTTTTAGAGTTACTCGCTGAGCATCTGCCATCTTCGGAATGCCAACACCTCTGCTATAGTTAGCCTTGGCTTTCTGAACAGAATCTGGTTTGGAACAAATTTCAGAAATACAGGCTTAAAAAGAATATACCCCCCCCCACCCCAAGTCTACCCTTACATGCGTTTCATGGTGTGAACGAACATTCTCATAGAATTTCCGAGCTCGTCTTGATCAGGCCTTGGCTCTGTTCTTCTCTCTTCACTAAATCTGATTAGCCTAGCGCAAAAGCATCTTTTTGGCTTGATCTGCAAGAAAGCCTTCGGTATCACAGGCGTGTTCATTCACGCTCATGCAAACACTAGCACAAAACTCAACATGCAACTCAAGGGTGATTTATACACTTGTGTACACGCAGTAAAGTCAATCACCCCACCTTGGCTTTGCCGGGCTCAAAAGCCAAATGCCAACATTGACTTGTGTGAGACCTGAAATGATTAAACACAATGTCTGATTCAAATGCCGTGCCTCATGTGGCCTCTAAAGGACCAGGGGCGTAAGCGGCTCAATCCACCTTCTGCAAACTGCTCACTGAGCCAGCATCTGATGCATCACTTCTATAGCATGTTCTGCACCTTGCCAGCTCGCGCCACTGTAGTTCTGTTGTGCTGATTTCCTCTGCACTTCTGGCCTTTATCCACTTGCACTCAAGCTTGTGGTAGAACTTGCCTCGCTGCGTGATGTAGCAAACGCTTGGAGGTACAGGGTCAAGCATATCCCTGTACAAGAACTTCACGTTCGGGTGAGCCGGATCGCTGTAAGGCCTATAGGCCTGTACTTCCACTTTGCTGCTGGATGTTCCTTCGCACCAGCCGCATCGTCATGCACTCGCTCAGGATTCGTCTTCACATCGTCACTGCTGCTCATCTCTGAAATTGCACTTCTGTCTTGGGCCAAATCTCGCAAACATTGTCATTGTAAATACCACACAAAATGAAATCGCCCACTCGAGATAATCAATGTGACCATCTCCTCCGACTGCCATGACTTGCACTGGCTCAAGGCCTTCCATAGCACATGCCCTTGAATTGTTGCTGTAAGCCGTAAGCAATGCAACTGCTCGTACCATGTCAAAATTCAAGCCCTTCTTCAGTCGTTTGATTTGCTGTTTCACAACCAGTCTCACTTCATGCTCTTCGTCTGCCTGTTCACCAACCGGTTCCAACTGACAGTTGACAAAACCTAGGTGAAAAAGGATTCTCTCCAGTTTCTGTTTCGACAGCTGTTTTGTACCTATGTCAGCCTAATTGCCAGCTGAACTGACAGGTAAAACTCGAATCTCTCCTTGTTTCGTCTTTTGCTGCAACCAGGCCAGCCTCGTGGAGATATGACGGAGACGTCCCATACCTTCACGCTTCGCCAGGTCCCGTGCTCCACTGTTGTAACTCACATGTGCTGCCTGTAGCAAACTCAAGTACCTGCTTCAAGCACAGTGAATCGCAACTCGATGATGTTGCCGCACACCACTCGCTCTCACATGACGAAAGCGACACAGCAGATTGATTGCAAGTTGTTCCATAAATGAAACCGCAGCCATGGATGTGTTTCAGTTCACCATTCTCTGTCCAAGATGCGAACTCCTCAAATGACATTGCAATGTACATCATGTTGGTCTTGTTCTGGATGATGTCCATGTGGATCCCATCCAATGTACGCAAGGGCTGTTTCCCGGTGATGTTCTCCTCAGTGTAGCCCAAAGATGTAAGGCTCATCGCATCCCATGTCCTCGCCACTGTGACCTCTGTGGCCGGGATGTACTCAGCGATCCTTGTGAGTCCTGACATCGCCATTGTGTACCTTCAATGTACAGGGGTGTGTCTCCACAAAGTGTAAAATGGCTGCGACATGTATCAAAGACATTGTCTGAAACATGTATGAAACCTCATGCAGTAAAAATGTACCCGAGGATGTAAAAGATGTGGTTGCATTCCGCACGACAAAGATTTTCTTGACTGCTTGTTTCCTGCCCAGTCTGCATCTGAACTTTTTTTTAACTCTTGAAGACGCGCGCCCACTATCCGTGACACACGCCGGCCCAGTCTGCATCTGATTTTTTTTTTTGAACTTGATGACGCGCGCCCTCAATCCGTGACACACGCCGACTAACGGCCCAGTCAAGATATTCAAGACTGGAAATGGGAACAAGCTGCACCAGATGCAAGAAGACCAAGAACCAGGGGGGCCCAAAAAGAACCAAAAAGGAGGGGAGCGAGCAACAAAAGAAGAAAAACCCCGGCATCCGGCACAACAATCTACTGCACACGGGCAAGCGGCGCGAGCCCGTCCTGCGTTTTCTTCCAAGCTCTGAGCCTAAGGGCAGCATGGACATCAGGCTTTTCGTCTGCTGGCATTTTGAGATTTACGACAGGCTCCAGTGTCGGGATTTCAGGCCGACCCGCACCCCCGAAGCGACCGGGCTTACAAGTTGACAAGACTGCCTGCTGAACAACCGCGGCTGTTTCTAAAGACCTGACCAGCTCCGGTCGTTGCGCCAGGCCCGAGCCATAGTCTATCGGTAGGATTTTTTGGAGTGATCTGACACAAGTAGCTTCTGGGTAGGGAAAAAGAGGCTGTTGCAAGAGCATTGCAACAGTGCGCATGGAGTCAACCCAGAGTCTGCGGATTGCTTTCTCACTGAGCTTCAAGAGAAGCACATCAGGATTCTGCTCAGGTGTACAATATTTCGGCTTTTTCGAATCTTTGGATATGTTAGTGGGCACCTCCGATTGAGTCACAAGGCGAAAGTTAACGTAGAGTTCAAACCAAGTGATCCCAATACATTGGGGATCAGGCTGACCCCATTTGAGCGTACGTGCCCAAGCAACGAGTCGGCGCATGTAAGTGTGGCCATATAGACATAGCTCGTAATGCTTAACCTGGATGTCACATATATGCCACTTAATGGGACGCACCACTCGGATGGTGAGGACATCCAGTTGCCTCTCTCTGCGGGTATGCCCTTGGTTAGGTTGCGTGGCATCCCCTTGCGAGGAGCTGATTGTTTTTTCCCTTATCTGTTTAATCTTGGCTTCCTGCACGTCTGCAAGGTATTCAAGTGCACAGCATGTGAATTTATTACGGTCACTCCAATCAGCATCAAGTGCCTTCCTAAGTTCACAGGTATGAGGATCACCAACCTTCCTTAGGCAACCGGCAGCTGCGTCTGCACAATGATTCCCAATTGCGTTATATGTATCAAGAAGGGTGGCCAGGTCAATAGGATTCTGATGAGATTTGATCTTCTGGATACTGATTGCGAGGTCACTCCCCTGTATGGCCTTACAAAGAAGAAGGATAAGATCAAAATTATCACGGTGCCAATGCACGAGGGGTTCTGGCTTATGTGTGACAGCGGGAAGCAAGTCCACGACATACTGACTGTCGCAGTATATGTGAAGACTTTGCGCCTGTCGGAAACAGAGAATAGCGTAGCACACAGCCAAGAGTTCTGCACGGTTCACTGTCTGACGCCCAGGCACGAAACCTACTTGCACCACTTTAAAAGTGTCAGGTAGGCGGAAATCAGTATTCCAATGCCTCATGCTCTGGTTTCTCTGGTAGTCGCTAGCGCACGTGTCCATCACGATGGCCCAGGTGGCCTCTCGGAGGACGTGATTCAATGTTACATTGGCAGATCCGTCAGTCCAGACAGTGACATGGCCTCCATTGGTCTGATGCTCAGGCAGTGCAAAGGAGGTATTCTGCCTTATAAGCCTGAGTTCTTGCTCTGTTGAGAGTTGGGGTGCAATCGGAAATGCCAAGTAGGGGCGCTGCCCGGCAGACAGTTGCGCCAACCAAACATGCCAGGCATCCCGAACATGTTCTAGCTTTGGGCAGTCGAGCTGGTCATGCAAGAGACCTGGTTGTTCTTCGCCGCACAGTATGCATGTAACCTCAGAAATGGGTTTCCAGTGTATTTGCATAACAGGATTCTGAAATGCTCCGGTCAAATGCCGTTTTACCAAGGCTCTTTGTTTGTCACTGAGTGCTTGTATAAGGAATGCCGTGTGTGTGTGACATCAACGGTGTCAATGTCTTGCCAAGTTTTCCTTTTGAGCGCTTCTGTTGTAATCACATGACTCCAAGTGGTCAACAGGAAATCAGTAATGTCAGGCCTGCTCATTTGTGCAAGA